AAACAAATATATAGATAATGTAGTTATTTTTTTAATGTAAACATATAATGAAACTTATATTATAAAGATAACATTAAAAAGAGATTGGTAAAATGCAAAAATATTTAATAGGTGAAATGTGGGAATAAGGTGGTTAATTTAGTGTATTCTACAAATAGAGTCCTCAATGTTCTTTATGAGTAGAGCAATAATAAATAAGTAAAAACACTTAAATATTTTTCATCATGTTAATAAAATTCAACCAGTAGCAGATTCAGCATAGAGCATGAGAGGGAGGGGGCGAGCTGGCTTCTCCCGCTTTTTAAGCCTAAAATTTAAGTTTCTCATAACAAAATTTTGCGTTTATTTTAAATGGAAAAAGAAAACTAGGTAACGACAAATCATAGCTTACATACCTGCTTTACAAATTTGTACGCCTATATGGCAGAAAACAAGTCGTTTTTTTTGAAGATTTTTTATTAGAGCTTTAATTTATTTAAAAGAAACATTTAAAATCTAGCATAGTGAAACATTTAAAATCTAGCATAGTGAAACATTCAAAATCTACCATAGTGAAACATTTAAAATCTACCATAGTGAGATCCATAAATAAGAACAACCGTTTAGACTCTTTTTTAAATCAATCAAGAGTGGTTTTCTTTTTATATGTAATATATGAAAAAAAATTCCATAAATATTGCCCACGATACTTAATTGAGTATGAACTCAATTTTAAACTATATCTTGGGACAGCAAAGTTGTTGACTGAGAATCTTGTGCAATGTTTATGTCAGATTTCATTAAAATAGGATTCAAATATTTTTTGCAACATTTCTTGCTTAATTCTATACATAAAAACTAAAATTTCATGTAAATTTATTTTATAAATATTTTAAGCCCAAGTAAACACAATAAAGGCTCACAGGGCTTCGCTCTATTTTCTCTAAATATAATTCGACATGCATATTTTTGTTTAATATAAAGCTTTTTTAATTTTGTATGATTGGTACTTGACCAGGCAATATTACAGTATGTTAGGTAACTTTGAATAGAAGCAAAGTATAAACTTTTTAGTGATTTAAAATTAAGAAATGGTTTAGCTCTATAAATTATTCCTATATTTCTAGAATTTTTTTTTTCAAGACTGTTTATATGAAAATTCCATCTTAAATTTTCATCCAATTCAACGCCGATGATTCTCTTTTAATTATAAATTTTATTTATAATAAAGTTTGGTAATTTTAATGGTCTTTTCTGAATGCTAATAAAACAAAATGAATTTAGTTTTATTAGCATTCAGGGAATATTGTTACTTACAAACCACTCATTAACTTTATCTAATTGTTCTTTAACATGTTTAAAAAGTATTTTAATATCTTTGTGTGAATAAAAGAGATTAGAGTCATTTGCTAATAGAATAAAATTAATAAGATTTGTATATTTTGTATATTTGATGATAAATAAAGATCGTTTATGTAAAAACAACTATGACCCTTGAATAGAGCCCTGTGGAAAGTTATTTATTGTTTAACTGTATCTTTTTAAATCGTAACCAAAGTGAGCTTTTGTTTCTAATGCCATAGTGTTCAGGTTTACTAGCACTATATTATGGTTTACTGTATCAAAAGCTTTGAACAGTTCAATGGAAACTCCTAATGTAAAATAATCGTTGCTTAGAGCGTCCGATATCTTGTTTACTAGCTCGACTACTGCGTGATCGATTGAATGCTTTTTTTTGAAAACGAACTGTTTTTTATACATAGAGTCTGTTGTACATTATACGCTCAAGTATCTTTGAGAAACAATGTAAGATAGAAATCAGTCTTTAGTTTGAGATGTTGGATTCATCTTCACTCTTAAAAGTTGGTGTGATTCGGGCAATTTTTAAATTATCCGGAACAACACCTATTTTTAAAGAAAGTTTAAAGATATGTAATTAAGATGTTTCAATAAAATCATGTACAGATATTATAATATTGGCGCTAATTTCATCAAAACCTGCGCTTTATTTTTAGGCTATTAAGAGCATCTCGCAATTCGCAAACTTTAAGATTAAGTTCGTCCATATACGTTCTATATCTTTTTAAATAAAAATCAAAACTTATGAGCTCAGCGGAATTGTTTTAGCTAAGTTAGGCCCAATATTAGCAAAAAGCGGACAAGATTCTCAGCAAAAGAAGATTTTTAATAAAGTAGCTTTTTATTATTCAGAAGTTTTTTTGGTAGAATATTTTTTATACTTTTGTTTTTTCCAATTATTTCATTAACAACATGTCATGTTTTTTTATTGTTTTCATTTGTTTTTTCTAACAATTTTGCGTAGATATATCATGTTTTCTTAATTTGTCTATTCTTTACAAAATCAAATTGACTTTTCCCTTTACATCTTCTTCTAAATGAAAGAAGTTTCAGTAGACTATCAAAATATAAAAAAAAAAATATCAACAAAAATTTGTTATCAACAATAACTAAAGATTGTCTTTTTGAATTGACATTAGTTTTAATGAAATATGAGCTTGGTGAAATATTGAGTGTGAACTATCAATAAATCATTTTGCCTCAACTCAGTGGTCACAGAGGTCCATAAGACGTCTATACATCGCCATATATACGTCACAAGTCTGTATGATGACTTTTCTTTTTTTTAAGGATAATTTTTAACCAAAGTAAACTTCGCAAACTCAAACTTTAGATTGTTTAGTGTCTTTGACGCACTTAATAATTATGGTAAAAAGCACATACAAGCATTAATAAAATATATTTATCACAAGAGTGGTTACCAGAAATAAGTGTTTTTTAGGAGTAAATGTGCTACTCCCAACCCTTGTCACTTCCTACTCATTTCCTTTACCCCACCCCCTTTTCCTCCCCACGCGCGCGACGCTAAACCTCAATCCGTCATAGTTGAAATTTAGATGAAATAGATAGAAATTTATATCAATAAAATCAATAGACATAGATGAAATTTTTTTATAAATTTATTTATGTCCGCTAATTTAAACAAAATCGAAATTCAATTTTAGTATCTGCGAATAAAGTTTTGAATGAAATTATGTCAAAACGTGTTTAAGCATTGTTTGAGAAAGCTGGAACCTTTGAAAAAAAGTAACTTTCAGAACTTACTCTGATTATAAATGTGTATTTATGTAACACCTTTATGTACTGGTAAAAAGCATGGAAGATTTCTATGTTATTTTCCTTTTTAGAAACATTAGTGTCACATAAAATAAAACTCAATTTGATCGATAAGTTGATATGCGATTATTTGAAGAGAGCTTTTAATAGAAAAGCGTAACAATTACCTTATTACGTTAAAACCTTAATGTGCCCTTGGGGGATTCATCAGTACATACATTGACTGATTCATTACTACATCAACTGAGGGTTTGGGTTAAAGAAGAATATTGTTATGGTTAAGAGAAATTATTAGCACTTTATTCCCGCATATGCGGGAATAAAGGGGAATGCGGGGAAAAGGGTAAATGGGAATGCGGGAAAAAGGGTAAAGGGGAATGTGGGAAGAGGGTAAATATTTACACTTTGAAAATTTTCGCATTTTTCTCATGTCCCATTAAAAAGTGCCGTAACAAATAGTTACAGCGACTTTTTAAAGAAAGCAGAAGAACAAAACAAAACTACCTTTTTTTTTTTTAGATACATCCACGCTTATTTTATAACAATATTTTAGAAGTTAATATCACCCCAGACATTTTTTTCTAAATATCTTATGTCGCGGCCTGTTAGTTGGAGAGCAGCATAATTACGTCATAATGAAATGTGTTTTAAATAACGCAAATAAGTCATTACCTTAATTATCATCATCGTTTCCATTGTCACATCGTCATTAGTTTCGAATAATCATAAGAGTTTCAATTCATTTCATAAAGTCTTAAATAACTTAAGAGAGATCACCATATTTAAATATAAAATATTATAAACCTTGACGTCAAAAATTAATCCGGACGAGATAATGGAATTAACTATAATCAGTGGTCCAGAAAAAAGTAGAAAAATTATTTTTGAAGTAACTTTTTACGGGATACTTAAACTTTTAAAGAAAACACTGTTTTATTTACAGTCTTAATATAAAATGAACATTAAAAAATTAACATAAAAGCATTAATCTTAAAGAATAAACATAAAAGAAAAAAAAAAAAAAAAATCAAAGCTCAAACATCATCGATGTTGCAAAAGAACGTTTCCTCAATTTTCAGCAAAAATTGACAAAACCTTATGTTGTGAAAAAAATTTAAAATGCAGCATTATTTTTTTATTATCCTAAACATTGCTTAAATATTATATCCGTTCCTAATAAGTTCCTTTGATGAGTTGTCTTTTAAACGGTTTTAATAAGTTATGAAATTTTTTTGAATTAAATCAAAAAAACCCATTGCAGAAAAGTTACAATGATTCCAGATTCCAAAAATGCGCAAATCTAAGGGTTTGACGTTTTTTATTGGAAAAAACATCTTTGAATTTTTACGTTTGAATTTTTTTATTTGAATTTTAACGTTTTGTATCTTTTAATTGGACGTAAATAATGAAGTTAATGTAAATAAAAATAATAAAAATCAAACGAAACAACATTTTTGAATGAAATTCAAACCTTTTGTTAAGTTCTAATTGAAAAAGTTAATCCTATTGAAAATTGAAAATAGTAATAATCGAATTAAACGTAAAGGAACAAAAATGTTTTAATAAAACGTTTTTTTTCCATTAAGTTAAATTTATTTATAAATACAAAAGATACTATTAATAACGGTAAAATAAGACTTTTCCAAAAAAAATAAACCAAAATTTAAATTGAGAAACCCGCGTGAATCAATGGTTTCCGCGTAAACTTATGACTTCCGTGTGAATCTATAATTTCTACATGAATCTAGACTTAATGATTTTTTATTGTTCTATTGTTGTTTTTTTTTATCATTTTTTTTTTACTTCATATATTTACATTTATAAATTAAATTACCATGAAAATATTTTATTTCAGTAATAAGTTTATTGTGATATGATATCACACAATTAATCGCTAACAGAAAAATCGCTAACATAAAAAAGAAACATCCTTTTAAGAATATGTTTTTATTGCTATTTTCATTTTTTTTTTTTGTAATGCAAGGGATTTTTAACAATTAATAAACGAAACTAAGGTAAATATCAGTTTCGCTTTATAATATAAATAGCTCATATTAACGTTTAATCTTTAAACAAATGCTGCGTATCCAGTAAATGATATCTATCAAATTAGTTCTAAAGAGGTAACCTAAATTTTTTTTTATATTTTGTTTTGCGGACGAATTTAAATCTCTCCGTTAAGTTAGAGTGTAACGGGCAAAACTTAACGGAGGGGTGTAATTACTCTCGCAAATACGTTTATTTATTTGGTATTTATATATTTGAGTTGTAAATACATTTCGTTTGTTAAAAATAGTAAAATAAATAGGAGTGGTGTAATTACTCTCGCAAATACGTTTATTTATTTGATATTTATATATTTAAGTTGTAAATACATTTCGTTTATTAAAAATAGTAAAATAAATATAGCCAAATAATTAGAAATAAAAACTTCAAAAAATCTTAAATTAAATATAATTTTTGATGGTGTTTTTTTGCAAGTAACTTTTTTAAAACATAAAAGTTTTAAAAAGTTACTTTAAAAACACCATCAAAAATCTTATTTAATTTAAGAAAATGTGAAACTTAAAAAAATTTTTTTTTGCTTTGTTAGTTATAAAACTTAAAAATAAGATGGTTAACAAAGTTAGTTTACCCGATAGTCTTTGCGACGCTTCAAAACTGTATTTTATAATGCAATCGTTATAATGCAATTGTTGACGGAACATTAAAAATGTTTAACTAAATAACAAATGCAATCATAAGAGATTACTTCAACTCAAAGATAGAAGTGGTTTTTTATTGCTATTTTCTGTTGTGGTTGATTGCAAATTTATTTTTTAAATTTAATTTGCTAATGTTTTTAACCAAGACGGGTACAAATTGTGTTGGGAAACTTTAAAATCGTTAATATCTTGACAAAAACCGAGATTACTTGAGACTTTCGATGAGATGAAATAAAACTTAAATACCTTGAATAAAGACCGAGGAAGGTCTTATGAAAATGTTAGTTTTACGTACTGTTTTGTTTGAAAAAAAAATTTTCTGATCATTCTTTTGTATTGTAGAAGTAACGGTGTTGTATTTATAATTGATATTGTTTCAGGATAAAACTTCGTCTACAAAAATGTCTGTAAAAAAAGTATTTAATCCATTCGTATTCTAACTTGTAATCACTTGAACAGTTTACCTGCAAAATTTCTCAAAAATAGATTTGCAAGAAAAGTTGTTCGGGGCGAACCTATAGCACGCCATCAATGTAGTCATAAACCTTTCCTTTAAATTTGAGGTTTTGCGAAGTTAAAAAGTCTTTTAATTATAAAGTTGGCTATACTATTTATCATAATATTGACAGCATTAACTATTGTTTTTTGTTGTGGAATGTTTGAACTTGTAATAATATAATACTAAAACAAATTCATGGGGATTGTCTTGGTTTACTTCTTTGACAAAAGTGTAAAAATCATTAGTACGAAATTCAAAAAAAAAATTAATTGAGATTAGATGAATTATCAATCAAATTTTGCTAATTTACTAATAAGTTTAATTAATAGGTAATTACGGTCAGAAGACTATAATAAAAATGATAAGCCTATTGTAGAGCCGATTAGTATACATAACTCTGGACTTTTCTGATTTTTGTTTTCGACACTTTTTAGTATTTTATGATATTACAAGTTTGTATACTAATATTTTATTTGGCAATACAAGTAATATGTTGTGAATAGTATTAACATAATTAACATAATTAACATAATTAACATAATTATTATTAGAAGAGTACTAAAATCTACATTTAATTTTTTTTTAGAAATTTAAAAGATATGCCATCGCTTTACACTGTTGCTTCTGAACTTGTTAAACTAGGTGATCAAGTGCAAAACCAATACATCCGCTCACAACCAAATCAAAGTTTGGAAAAATATAAAACAACTGACTCAAATGGAAAACTGACTTTAAATCGAAATCAATAATTTTTTCTCTACGAATTATGTTTTCATTTTCGATATGCTAATTTAAGGTATACAAAGAAGAAGCAGATTGAAACTTTTGCGAAATCAAAACTTTGTTTTTTTTCAGCGAAAAAATATAAAAAGAAATCATATACAAAATATGTAAAGTAAAAATCAGCAAGAATGCATGATGTTTATGAGATGATTGACAAAAAAGTATGATGTTTTTTTAAAAGGAAGTTAATAACAAAAAGTTGACACTTCTAATACTGCATATTGTAATCTTTTAAAATGTTTTAGAAAAATAAAAAATTTTAAAGTTTACGTATTTATTTATTTTATTTATTAAAGTGCTCCAAGAAGACCTAACGGTCTTATCACAGAGCACGGCGGATGAGCATTTAACCATGAAGTTCACTGCTACTTAGCTTATTGGGTTAAAGCCGACATCAAACCTCTACTTCCTGCTAAAGAAAGTTAGAGGTTTGATGTCGGCTTTAACCCAATAAGCGACATTGGTAAGGCCTTACCAATGTCGCTTATTTTGTTAAAACTGGCATCAGACCTCGAATCTCTTAGTTTTGCCACAGCTTGTTGTTGAAATAATGTTGCAATTAGAAAACAAAAAGGGAAAAAAATGCTTTTTTTTCGTTTTTTTACCACAATCATTGTTATATATTTTAAAAAAATATTGTTTACATGTCTCCAGTTTATATATATGTACACCACACATATACACCACACCTAATTGTTCACAAATTATGTCACGAGATAAAGGTAGGGAGGAGTTAGCAATTTTGTGACGGTTTGTTACAGGGTGGAAGGGGTTTATTAAACTTTGTGACGCAACTTGTTTTTTTTTTCACAAGTTTTAAATCCAGAAAATCTTTTTTATTAATTAAAATAGTGCCTAGCCTAAAACATAAACCCTCAGTTGATGTACTCTAAGCCATTACTAAGTTAAAGTTGGTTCACTTTGGGAAATGTTCTATTTATATTCAATAAAATTATTTTCAATTAAAAAATTACAAAACTTTGTCATTTTTTTGAGAAAAACAAAACAAATTTCATTTTTATAGTTTTATTAAAGTATTACGAAATAGAACCGAACGTCGCTTAAAATGAAATTTTCGCGTCATAAACTGGTATAATAACATGGTATGTAATTAGCTCGCCTTTTATAAATGCATTTCCATTTTTTTTTTGGGAAAAGGTTAAGGAAAATTTTTTAGGAAAATTGCTTTATGCAATTTTTTACAATTTAAAATATTACATAAAATCTAATACGGATGTCTTTATATTAGCCTTTTATTTAGCTTTTGTATTTTATGATATTTTCACATGATATCTTTTATAATAAGTTTATAAAAATCTTTTTTAGACTGAACTTAAATATTAAAAATGAATGCAAAATGTGGATCTGAGCGACCAACAAGAAAAAGAAAACAATGAAAAAATTCTCCTGCCATAGTTGTAAAAGTGAGTGAAGAAATTTGGTAAAATGTGAATCTAAATCTTCCACTAATGAAAGAGAAACATCTAAGAATTAAGGTGCAAAGAACATTTCAGAAATTGCAGCTGAACATTTTAAAGCTTCAAAACATAAAAACAGTATTTGTTGATTGGAAAATAACCTTTTAAAGTTTTTGATATATCAGTTTGCAGAAATGAACTTTCTCTTTTAAATTGTGGTGACAGGTTTGAAGTTAACAAAACATTTTTATAAGGCCACAATATTAAGCAATATGTTTTTTCAAACAAATTTGTGACTTAACTGCCAATAAATTTTACAGCTGTACAGTTTTTTATTTCTTCTCAAATTATGCCATTATTTTTTATTATACATACTACCCTTAAGAAATTGTCGATGCAGATTGATGGGGTTGTTCTAACAAGCACTATGTATGTCTCTGTGAAGGAAGCAAACAGGTTAAAATAATTTTTTATTTTTTTTGTATTATAAATCAGAATGACAGATCCACACCTCCCCACAACAGTGTTAATGTTTTAAAAAGTGCACACACGCCAAAATCAACTTCTTTTTGCAAGGTATGAATATAGTGCACACAAAAAAATATTTCACAAAGTTTGAAAAGTATGTCCTGAAAAAAAATGGTGCTTATTGTGATATGAAAAAAATGTGTTTTTCTCTCATTAACATATACAGAAAAATAACTGATTTAGAATGAAGTTCGTAGAAGAACATATTTAAGGCATAGACTAGTTGCGAACAAGCTATTTCTTAAATAGATAATATTATTTAAAATAACATTTATATTTCATATCAATAAATTAAAGAATCCTATCAAAATCTATAAAAAAATATTTTAGTTTAAACATTTTGTTAGCTGATATAGACTGAAAATGTCAAAGAGTTTGGTATTCTTCGTTTTGATCTCCAAAGTAATAAATATATCAAAAAAATCATCTAACGCTTTTTCAAAATTCATACTAAGTATCTTACTAAAACACCAGTAAGTCATAGTATCAAAAGATACTATGCGTTACTCACAAAATCCTTATCATCAAAAAATCCCCTAAGATCTTCAGAAAGAGCATCTCTAAACTTATTTGTTAATATCATCAATTTCTTACACTGGCTTTCTTCAAACTCTCCACGATGAATTTTTTGTCTGACAAAGGAATTCCTTTCTAGGAAGATTTCCCATTTTTTTTGTCCCCATTTATTGGTAGGTTATTCCAAAATAGATTAATTGTTTCTGTATAGAGATGAAGTTCGGGTATATTGCATATTTCCATGACTTCAGTTTCATCATCTCCTGGCAGAAGTTTTTGATTCTTGCAATTATAAAATTCTTTCAATTTTGATTCAAAATTACATTGTTTCCAACTTGTTTCCGAGCAAGATTTTGCTCTCTAATTGATCCAAAGATTCGTTTATCTCCTCTTGAGTAATTCCAATCTACACAAACTGTACTCTTAATACTGAAGCAACAAGGGTACTTTGAACTATGATTTTGAAGTCCTAAAATCAAGTAGTTTCAAATCAGCGCAAATTTTAAACTGAATATTTCTAAAGTCAATACTTTTGAAAAATACAGCACAGTTTTCATAATTCTCCTGAGTATTTTGGGCTATTCCTAAGAGTAATATCTGATCAACGGACGACTCTTTTTTCAGGTTCAGACAAATGCCCTAGGAATAGTTTGATCTCTTGGTGATATCATCACTAAAGTAACTTGCCACATCAATAGTACCAATTCCAAGCTTTAAGAAACCTCCACAAATACTTTAACCTTAACATTAAAAGCGTCTTGTTTTCTTTTTTCAATCATTGCGTAATACACAAATATATAATATAAATATTATTATATAATACAATATTTTAAAATCTATTTATGTTATGTAATATGGTTAAATTATATAAGATAGTTAAATTATATAATATATATTGTTATATAATAAAGAACTAATATATAGTAGTAGTAGTAGTAGTAGTAGTAGTAGTAGTAGTAGTAGTAGTAGTAGTAGTAGTAGTAGTAGTAGTAGTAATAGTAGTAGTAGTAGTAGTAGTAGTAGTAGTAGTAGTAGTAGTAGTAGTAGTAGTAGTAGTAGTAGTAGTAGTAGTAGCAGTAGTAGTAGTAAAAAGAAATCATATACAAAATATGTAAAGTAAAAATCAGCAAGAATGCATGATGTTTATGAGATGATTGACAAAAAAGTATGATGTTTTTTTAAAAGGAAGTTAATAACAAAAAGTTGACACTTCTAATACTGCATATTGTAATCTTTTAAAATGTTTTAGAAAAATAAAAAAATTTTAAAGTTTACGTATTTATTTATTTTAGTTATTAAAGTGCTCCAAGAAGACCTAACGGTCTTATCACAGAGCACGGCGGATGAGCATTTAACCATGAAGTTCACTGCTACTTAGCTTATTGGGTTAAAGCCGACATCAAACCTCTTCTTCCTGCTAAAGAAAGTTAGAGGTTTGATGTCGGCTTTAACCCAATAAGCGACATTGGTAAGGCCTTACCAATGTCGCTTTTTTGGTTAAAACTGGCATCAGACCTCGAATCTCTTAGTTTTGCCACAGCTTGTTGTTGAGTAGTAGTAGTAGTAGTAGTAGTAGTAGTAGTAGTAGTAGTAGTAGTAGTAGTAGTAGTAGTAGTAGTAGTAGTAGAAGTAGTAGTAGTAGTAGAAGTAGTAGTAGTAGTAGTAGTAGTAGTAGTAGTAGTAGTAGTAGTAGTAGTAGTAGTAGTAGTAGTAGTAGTAGTAGTAGTAGTAGTAGTAGTAGTAGCAGTAGTAGTAGTAGATGTAGTAGTAGTAGTAGTAGTAGTAGTAGTAGTGGTAGTAGTAATAGTTGTAGTAGTTGTAGTATTTGATATATATATATATATATATGTATATATATATATATATATATAAATATATATATATATACTTATCCATATATATACAATATATATGGATAAATATATATATATATTTATCCATATAAATATATATGGAAACCATATATATATAAATATATATATTTATATATATATATATATATATATATATATATATATATATATATATATATATATATTTATATATATATATATATATATATATATATATATATATATATATATATATATATATATATATGTATATATATATATATAAATAGTGGTAGTAGTAATAGTTGTAGTAGTTGTAGTATTTGATATATATCTTGTATAGTATTTGATATAGTTGTAGTATTTGATATATATATATATATATACATATATATATATATATATATATATATATATATATATATATATATATATATATATATATATATATATTTATATATATATATATATATATATATATATATATATATATATATATATATATATATATATATATATATATATATATATATATATATATATACATACATGTATATTAGGATATGATTTTAATTATTATGAACCTTTTATTAATAGAACAGTAAAGGATGAACATCACTTAACTTTTACTGGAGAAAGTGGACTATTTTCTAAGAAAATCTTAACTCATATTAAAATAAGGAAGCCATTGCTTTTGATAAAACTTATACTGGTGAAGATAATGGCTTAGTTGTGACATTAGAAAGGCTTTTAAACTAACGAATCCATTTAAAAGGATGTGTATTTCACCAAAATGAGTTACTTCTTTGCCATGTCGTAGCTTAAGTAGATAGTAAAAGTAACGATCCAAAGAAATATAAGGGCCCTATTGGTTGAAAAGCTTCTGCAGGTGATTTGCATAATTTACCAATAGTTGATTTTGTTCCAATTCATTCAGAGATTGACTCCAACGTAAACTCTAATATTTTATCTGATCTTAATACAGATCAACGTAAACTTTACGAATACTGTTTTGCAATATCTAAAGGTTTTATATCCCCAAAATATTCAATGAAAAAACCAGGACCTGTTTATCATGTCAGATGGTTAACTATAGCTTTAAGAATAATGATGGTTTATGTGAGAGTGAAGAATTCTATACTTCACCAAAATGAGTTGTGAACAATTACAAAGTATATAGTCCAATTATATTGCCACATGTGGTTTGCTCATAAAAGGTCTGGTCTTTTTAAAGATGCTCCAAGACTTCTTCATAAGACAATAGAGCTTGTTAAAAATCAGAAAGACAATATATAACAAATTAATTTTCAAAAATCTTCAAGGAAACTCTTATTTCTTTAAGTAAACTTTTTATATTCTATGTTGCAAGATGATGAAAAAAATATAAGGGCTCAAGCTATTAAGCAAGTTTTTCACATAAAGCAATCAAGAGAAGTAAATTTTGAAGTCAAACCAAAAATCAAAGCATGATTGATTTTCTATTAACTTTAAAGTGATGGAGTGGTTTAGTTGATGTTTCTTTAATTGAGGTTGAACCTCCAACATCTATCCTAATTTCATTATTTGAGTTATTGACGAAGCTATTGACATATATTGACGAAGAGATGCAACACTAGGCATCTCTATACTATCTAATGTGTAGGGCAAATTGTTGACGAGACAAGATGTCCATTATGATAGGAATTTTTTGAATAAGTTGACCGTGTAAGTGTCAATTACTTCTTGTGGTAGCATATTCCAGGACGGTGTGACATGACTAGTAAAAAAGTGATATCGCTCTTCTCAGTCGCTAACAATTTGTCTGTGTAGCTGTTTATTGTGACAGTGTAGCTGTTATATTCGTTGTTAGAGAACCTTTAAGGAACAAAAAAATTAACATCATCAATTTTATTCATAATTTTAAACTGTTCAATAAGATCTCCTCTGACTCTTCTCTTTTCCAGTGTTTTCAATCTGAATATATTTAAGCGTTGCTCATATAGGAGATGTTTGATAGAGGAAACATTTTTTGCTCTGCGCTGAACTCTTCCATGCACATTAATATCTTTTTTAGGTGAGGAGACCTTGCTTGAATAGCAAATTCCAAGTGTGGGCGCACATATGTGATGTAAAGCGTTCGCCAGAGACAAATGCTTCTGCTTCGGAATGCTTCTTTGAGTAAGCCCAATTTGTGATTGGCAACTGAGACTGCAGACTCCACTTGGGCACGGACTTTGAGGTTATTTGATATCAGAACACCTAGATCTCGTTCAGTTTCCTCCAGGTTTCAACGAGTGCCTTCTGTGTTTGTCATTGAATAGACTTTTTGATTAGATTTTCTGTTTCCTCGACCGACATGCATTATTTTGCATTTTTCCACATTAAAGAACATTAACAATATGTGAGACCAGTTTATAGTATGATCAATGTCTGATTGTAAAGCTAGCATATCTTCATTCGCTTTTATGATGTTCATAATTTTACAATCATCTGCGTAGTGCTTAAACTGGCTTGTAATGTTGTACGGTAGATCGTTTATAAATAGTACGAAAAGGAGTGGGCCGAGGACGCTTCCTTGAGGGACACCATTTGTGACTTTTATCCAATCTGATGTGAATATTTCAGCAGTTGAATGAGTATAAATGACAACATGCTGTTGTCTATTGTTGAGCCAAGCATTTATTCACAATGTTTTCTCGTTGATATTATATGCTTTCAATTTGCTCAATGGACGATTGTGTGGGACTTTAACAAATGCTTTTGCAAAATCAGTGTAAATCACATCGACTGGATACTTTTTGTTTGCAGCTTCTGTGAGGAAGTCGCGAGTTTCTTGAAAATTAACGTTAAGGGCAATGCGAAACCTTTTGGGCAGTATTTGAGTACATATGGGTGAATGTTTTCAACACCGAAAGACGTCTAGGTTTGCAATTCGAACACGGATATTGTTGATTGAAAAGATATTCTCGTCTAATATATATTTTTTGTCAGTTCAAGGTTCCAATTCCGGCACAGGTCCGTCTGCCTCGTTTACAAATACTGATTGAAAGTAATTGTTCAGGGTTGTGCAAATAGTTTGAAGATCTGTTGAGATTGTTCCATCAGTTGTTTCTATAGAGTTGAATACATATTTTGAGTTGATTTTTTTTTTATATGAGCATGTAGCTTTTTAGGGTCTTTTTTATATCAATTAGCTAGGTTCTCTTCATAATCTAACACGGCTAATTTCAAAGTTTTTGTTACATTTCTACATGCTTCTTTGTGCTTGTCTCCGAGCTCTCTATGTGTATGGCGGCCAGAGGTAATATATTTATTCCAAAGCTCTCGTTTTGTTCTAATAGCTTTTAAAATTTCGCATGTTATCCATGGTTCGCGACAGAAGGAGGTCTGTTATTAGTTTGTTTTACACTTCTAGGAATAGATTGTAACATTCGTTAGCTTTCGTTCTGAACGACACAATCAATGCCACGTCTATCGTGTCGTTCAGAAAGAAATGACCCGTGATTAGAGCGTGAGATTGTCCCATTGGAGTGTCCCTAAATAAGTCTTCCTCTTTAATTTTTATCAAGAGATCTGGATTGTCTGTTATTACTAAGTCGAGAGTACTGTTCGGCTCTGAAAATCAGTTATTACGACATGTTTTGAAGGTGATCAATTGTGTGAGTAAGCATTCGTTCGCCTGGTCGCCTGGTCGTTCATTTAGCACGTTGTCGCCGCGCCGCTGCCAATCTCAAAATGCTCATAAAATGTGTTGTTAAAAATAATATTCAAATATTCTAATGGAAAGAGTATTTGTATCAAAGTTTGTACTAAGTATAATAACTATTGATTGCCAAAAAATGAATAATTCATTAAAAACAAGAAAATACTTAAAAATTTTAAAACCATTTCCCAAAAATAATCCGATCGGTCTGAACTTTTTATGGTAATCTTAAATTAGTATGAACAACAAAAGTGAGCCAAAATGATCTGAAAAAAAATTTTGGTAGTGGCTTAATGTACACTCGATTGTACTTTTAATAAATTGATTCTATTATTTTTACAAATTTTAGCCAATTAATGTAGAGTCTGCTACGTCTACGGCTTTATGGTACGATAATATAGCCGATTTATCATGGATTAAAAAATAATTAACAGTGAAATAGTTATTAAATAATAATAATAATAATAATAATGACAAAAATAATAATAACAATAATATATTTTTCTGTTTAGGGTCAACGCCAAGTCAAGACATACTCAATAACAGGTTTTACAAGATTATATAAAACAACTTAACTAAAACCAATAATTAGTTAGCAAAACATAGATTGTCTATTATTTTTTAAAACTCATTAACGGTGTGACTGAAGTAAGTTTGTTACATAATTTCAACAATTGATTTGTTAAAAAATTATCACGAAGATTATTTTTGAAATAGGTTTCAGTAATAGTGTAATGATCTGGTCTTCTTAAATAGCTATTTTATAATTATTTTTTTAGGAGGAACTTGCCGTTTAATTTTTTTTGTAACTTTTCTGATATTGATCAACGCCATTTCAATGTTTTATATTTTAATTTTGGCTAAAGCAACGAGTATCATACATTAATTTTTTTTAATGTTAACGAAATAAATAGAATTGAATTTAACTGAGTTTATTGATTTCATGTATTGTATCTAAATAAATATCAAAAACTGATTTTGTTTTTGATTGTTATGGTTCAGTGCGCTTAAATTTACATTACTGGTGGTTTATAACAGTTTGTTTGTTTTTTGTTTATTCTTAAAATACTTTTTTTAATAATATTTTCAAGTGATCTGATTTGAATCGAACACCTTGTACAATGTGTACAAATAACTCTTCCTAATATAGTTTTTTTTTTTTTTTTTTTTTTTTTTTTTTTCATTAAATATTTATTTTTTCATTTTACAAAGCATAATGATTTTTTTATCTTAAATCTTTTTATATTTTCCTCATGTTTGTCTAGGCTTCATGTTGTCATGGTTCCATTAAAAGTGTTCGACAAAGATACCAAGTCACACAATTTATAAGATCTAAAAATCCTTTAAATTTTCCAATGTTTTGACGCATACTACTATGCTATTATGTTATTGTGCTATTATATTTAAATGTTATACAAAAAATATTTTTTTTAGATTATAAAACTGTTAGGATTAAGATATAACATTTTCATTAGGGTCCACAAATTACGCTACGCATATTTTGACCGTTTTAGACCCTTCCCCCTCCCCCTCCTTCCTCGTCACAACATTGTAACTCTTTAGTAACAAGTTCCGTAGAGTCGTCACAAAAACATTTCCTCCCCCCCCCCTCCCCTGAAGCGTTATGTAATTCATGGATAACCCCTTATACATACAAATTCATTAAAATAAATTTATTTAAGTTTCTTTAAAAATATTCAAGTTTTCGTCAGACAAGTTAAGAACATCATCAAACGGATCATTGACTTTGAAATCTTTGTTGTCAAGAAAACTTTCAATCATTTAATAAAATAATGTCTAAATTTAGAAACTTATTTATAAATATTTATAATAATATATTATAACCTTTAAGTCTGCAAATTTTAACATGCAATTTTTTTCTTTGAATTCATGCACTATTATATTGTTATAAAAAAAAACTTTTGCATAATAGTCATGTATTGTTGCTCGCGCAAATAGTTCTTTACAAAGATGTCTTTAATACATCCATAACTACAAAGTGCTGTTGTTTTATATAAAAAAACAGCATATAACAATGTAACAGCAATGCTTTATTGTTGTTTGTATAAATATTTCTTTGTCTATTGATGCTTGTACAAATAATATTTTGCAAAGATGTCTTGCAGCCTTATAGTCTAACTAAAATCCTCATTAATGTATTAGTACATTTTAGTTATTTTTTTGTTTTTATTCTCTTTATGTCTATTCTTAAAATCTTTTTATGTCTACTTTTTTATCCTTTAATGTCTACGCTTTTTAAATTTGACATTATCAACTATGATTTGCTTTTGTAGATTTTTCACATAAGTTAGTTCTTTAGTTACTATGGAGATTTTTGATCAAAAGCTTTTAATTTGTCCTCATCACCAATAAAAAGGCTACAACCTTTATGTTTAAGTTACAGTTTGTCAAGAAATTGTTTTTTTTTTGTACATTCATAATTTCTCTCATTGTTGTTATGGATGTATATTCTAATTTTTGCATACTCCTTTTAGTTTTGTTACAATTTTTACATAAAAATTTTCAACGCAAAAAAAAATACGGCCGATCACTTCTACCTAAATAAAAGGATGATAGTTAATATATTCTAAACAGTAGCATCTCTATTTGGAATTAAACAAACAGGAGCATTCATGTTATGTAACAATTTATGGCTAGGAGAATACTCAGTTGTTTCACGGTTATGTCAGCTTTTTTCTTATACAGTCACAAGACATTCCAACCAACCTTCATATTTCAAGTTTTTCAACGATGAATTAATTTTAATTGCACAGTATTGTAATTTTTTTTTAAGGCTTCATTTTCACCTTCGATTAGTTCAAAGGAAACTGAAATAACGCTCCAAACTTAATAAGCGGTAGTACTTAATAAGTGTGAATAGCTTGCGCATATAAACAACGTTTGTTTTCATCAACTCCATCGCAACCAACCCAACAAAATTTTTTATGAACATCTTCAAAAACAGCATGTTTTAGTATATACTTTTTATTTACTTTAAGCGTAATTTTTTTGTTTTCAAAATCAAATTTGCAAAATATTTCTCAATCATTGTTAATTCTACTACCATTATGCCGCGCATTGGTAAACTCTGATTTGTTTAGCGCTACGTTTTTCCGAAACGGAGAACAAAATTAGCGGTTCTTAGCCTTCATTCCATGTCATCATTCCAAGTCATCTTACAATTGTCATGCTTGTAATCACTTTTAAAAGTTAAGTACGCGTGAGATCAACATTTACTATTGGTGCGGCTAATCATACAACAACACCAGTAATATGTCTGAAATATATTTTGGTTTACAAGCATAGAAATCGATCCCTTGCAAAGAATATTTCATTTGCTACTCAAACTTTAAACCAAAGAGGAGTGAATGCTTACGTTGGAATCTTTTGTAGTAGTGAATCCAACGAAGCTGCAGTCACATTCTTTGGCTTTTTTCTTATAACATCTTTTATGTATTAACTCACTGATTTGATATCTCAAAGTCAAAGTTCTCTTTTGAAATTTATTTACTTACTAAGAATGTAAAATCAAATAAAGTACACGATTCATTTGAGAAGGTGCATACTTACTAAGAATTTAAAATCAAATAAAGCACACAATTCATTTGAGAAGGTGCATACTTACTAATAATTATATTTGAGAAGGTGCATACTTATTAATAACTATCTTCTATTTAGGCTACTCTTTTCAAACATAACAATGGTCCTATTTAGAAAACAAAAACAAATACAAGGTCTTTAAACATGTGACCAAAATGAAGCTATTCTATCCATCATTTCAAGTAGTATTACAAGTAGATTCAACAAGATTAATAAAAAACTGCATTCCATCAAGATCAATTTAGTTTAAAGAGCAGTACAACTCCTTGAAACTTTAAGTGCAGGGAATTGTACTGTTTTTGTATTGTTCCTGCTTATCATAGCATGTCGACTCCGAAGGATATGTCTTCGAATAAAAGCCTTCAAGAGCACGTAGGACATATAAAGATAAACTTTAGCAATTAGTTTACATTGCACAGAAAACACTGTAAGGTACTTACAGTGTTTTCTGTGCAATGTAAACTAATTGCTAAAGTTAACAAGATTAACTAAAGTTAACAAGATTAACTAATGAGCAGGTAAAATAAAGAAGTCATATTCTGGATGAAATTCTTTTTTGGTTTTCATGAGAACCTTTCAAACATGGATGCCTCGAAGATCACTTGCAATACACAAAATCTTGTTGGCCGTCATCTTACTGATCTCAATTCTTTTTTATTTAACGAGTTACTCCGTTTTGGAGTTTTTTTTTCCAAATGAGATTAAGAATTAAATAGGCAAACAAAGGTCTTTAGCTCTAAATTTACTCAAACAAGTTAAACTCAAGAATATTGAATTAATATTCTTTGAGATTGACGTAGATCTCCAAATCTTCTTGACCACGAATGCTACAAACTGTTCCGGAAAACAGTCATTTTCAACATTGAAAAAGAATCAAAAGTGTTTATCGTTCAACTACAGAGACTGTTAAATAGTTTTTTAAAGTATAAAGAACTCTTTAAAAATAATAACAAACTCATGCATTTTTTTAATTTTTAAAGGTACATTCAGTTATTGCTAACTGCTGCCGAGGCAAAATATTTTTTTTTATCGAAGAACTTGTTTTTATGTAATAAACAACGTGCGATGTGTGTTTAAATACGGAAGAAAATACATTTGAAAACCGTAATACCACAGTTATAATTTTTATTTTATTTAAGAGTTTTTCATTTTAAACCGCTGTTAAATTTGAACTCTGGGAGACCAACAAGGGCCAGAAAACTTAAAATGCCGGGAGGCTAAAAAGTACTTAAGTTGGCCCTGGTCGTCATAACTCTCTATCTAAACATTTTTTATTTGTTATCATGTCTGATTTGCAAATAATCAACATGGTTCACAATACACTTTTCTGTATAATTAAGCATTAGGATAGCTACGTACGTTCATATTTCACGCCAGACTTGGAAACAATATAGTAATGATTTTCTAGGATGGATCTATTGTCATTGTCCTTTAAAAAAGGACCCTTAGGTTTACTACGTCAGTTTTCGATTACGAACCGTTTAACTTGGTCATTTAGTTCTTTAAAACTGTCTTTACCAGTCATATATAATGAAGTTTCAAATTTGTTTACACTCAAATACGATTCAATTTGATTTCCACAAACACCTTGTTGTGGTTGTAAACACACTTGTTGTGGTTGTAAACACACTAGCGTCGATTCCTGGATCTGGAACTATTAATTTTAGTTACTTCTGATTCTTTACTTTTTTTCGCTTGCTTTTTCAACAATAAGTTCATCAACTAGATATTGTAATATTTAATCTAGTAATAATTTAATATTGTAATATCTAATTTTCACAATTAACTTTACTTTGTCTTTAATTCTGACCTAATTATAATATCATACACATGATATTATAATTACTCTCTACTTTGAATAATATTAAAATAAAATAAAATAAGTGCCCTCCTCAGTCCAACCAACAGTGGAAAGTTTAAAATAATAAACAAATAACAATCAAATAAAAATAATACATTTATATAAAAAAATTATTTTTCATGAGTTTTAATTGATCTCAGGTTGGAGCCCCAGCGTCCGCGTGGCCCGTGGCATTTTGCCAGTCTTGCCACCCTTTTTGTAACGCCACTAGTAAAATTTAAATTAGAGTAATAACAGAATTTGCATTCTACTATAAAGTAGTAATTAAAAAACTCAAATTTTTTTTTCTTCTTATTATTAAGTTTATAAAGTACTCCTTGACCTAACGGCGTTATTACAAAGCACTGCGGAAATACATTAAACCAGAAAGTTCGCACCTTCTTCCTTACCAGTGTCGCTTACACAGATAGATGTTCATTTTTTAGTTATTTGACGTATACATAGGTAAAAAATAGTGGACATGTACTTTGCACCAGCGGACGAGTAGTTATTTACAGCGGCGGCGTTAGGCAAATCGTGGACGTCGGGGAAATTAGCTTTGCAATGCCCCATTATGTAAAAAAAAACTAATAAAAACAAACCTTGATTTGGCCGAATCTCCAGGCTTGAATTTTTATTGAGCAACATAATTTATTGAAAGTTATAAACACAAGTAAGAGCTGTTATTGTTAATTATTTCAAACATATTTATTTTACTCTTAATTTTGATATAGGTATTCACACTTATTTGTTCTTAATATTTAAATATTGAGTTTCATAATAAGTTTAAAAATTTAGATTGAAAAATTAAGAAGGAGCATATAAGTTTTATTGTTAGTTATGATAACAATAATTACACAAACACAAATTAAAAAAGACGAACTTTTCGGCTTTTAGCATTGCTGAATCTTTTTAAAATTGTATCATAACTAACATCCACTTCTATTTCAACTTCAATTGACAAAATGGAAAAAGCAGATAGCCTTTCTTGGCTCATCGTGCTTCCTAAGTAGGTCTTAAGAAGCTTCTCTCAGCAGAAACTTACTGGAATTGTGAGATTCTGATTGTTATGTAACGGTTTGAATATACTTCTTCAAAATTATTTTCTAAAATGTACTGTATAAATTGCTTTGCATCATTTATGTCTTCTAGTAGAGTGGATTTTAAAATTCGCAGTTCTTCATAAACTATAAAAAAATCTATGTCGCTGTTTTTACCTTCCCGAGTATTGTACCTAAATTATTACAATGTTTAAGTAGGTCTTTTCTAGGCAAAAATTTCAAATAATTGATAACGTAAATAAAACCAAAACGGTCAAAATATTGATTGAGCACTTTGAATCAACATTCAGTGTCGACTATGACTGCATTTATCATTGTGTTGAAAAAATTTACTGCAACTATTAAAAGTAAATTCCAGCAATGACAACCGCACGGTGCGAAGAATGCTCTTGGATAAATATTGAGTATTCTTGTTCTGACACCTTTATTAATGTCTACCATATTAACGCCATTATTATATTCCTTTCCTTAACAATTTTGTATATCCCGACCATTTCTCTCTAGTTCTTTTAAAATGGAGTTTGCTAAATAACCTCCTGTAGTTTCTGTAACGGCAATAAAACCATCAAAACTTTCCCCTATCGCTCCAGTTAGGAAAATGCAAAATCTTAATATTATTGACATTTGTTCAATACGACTTGCATCTCTGGTGCAATTATGCAAAAAAGCATTGGTTTTTGCTTGTTTAACTCTGTGTATAATTTCATCAACAATATCGATGTAATTAATTCATTTTGAACGTTGTAGCGCAGATAATTTTGAGCAATTAGCTTTTCATTAGTCATACTTGGATAATAACTTAAACAAGTCTATAAAGTTTCCACTGCTTCTGCTATTGTCCAGATTAAGTGATTCACGATGACCTTTAAATGCCAGGTTGTGTGAGGCTAAAAAGTTTATTTTACCAATTAATCTTTCAAACAAATTATACCAATTTTTTTGAGATTTTCTAATCAATCCCTCGTTTATACAATATCCGACTCAGATTTTTCCAGTCACAACATCCTTCTTTCACCATCTGAGTCTGTGTATGCGAAAAAAGTCTACAAAAAAACCAATAAACTTTATCTTTTGATAAGGAGTAAACTAACCATTAGGGCCGTCCCGAGAGTGGCGTAAGGGGTTTCCAGCCCTTCTGCAACTTTTATTAGTCGGCAAATGGAACATTTTTTTTTTCATTTCTATATATTTTGATAGGGACTGTTTTGAATAAAGTAATGAATCGCTCAAATGAATTGCTTGCTCTTAATTTACTGAGTCACAAATTGTATCACTTGCCAAATCTTTATTGCATTCAAACTCTTGCGTCACAGCTGATACATTCGACTCTGAAGCTGGTTCTGTTTCAGAAACCAAAGAAACCAAGAGATTAATCAGAGGACTCTGGAGCAGTAACAGTTGAAAGGGGTTTCTTAAGAAATTTCATCATACAGGAGATCATAGCTTGGTTTGATTTCTCTGTTTCAGTCTTTCTTTTTCTTTTCGATACACCAAACTCCCATGTTCTTCCTATATCTCTGTCTCTCGTTGGTTTTCCAGACATGATTTTAAACATATGTTTTTAATTATTTGCATAGAAGTTTAGGATTAAGGATTTGCATTTTGGACTAAGGATGGATTTTAATTATTTGCATGCATGCTTGCGTGGAAGTTTTAATTTTAATTATTTTTTTATGGTATTAACTTTAGGTCAAGATAGTCATAAAAGTAGGGGAACATTTTTAATTAACTTTTTAAATTTACGTGTAATTAATTAAATAAAGAGTTAAATTTTATTTATAACAGTTTGTAATATTCACTTACTTTGTTATTGTTTTTATAGCAGATTGTAGTTATAACCAATGGGTGCACTAAATGCTTAAACAATTGTACTATATTTAATATTTAAATTATAACTTAATAAACTAAGTTAGTTAGGTTATAATAAAAAATTAAATTTGAATTTGAATTCATTTTTATTTATCAGATTTTAAAATTTGTTTACTATTAATTTGACGCGGGTCACGTGCTGTAATCGAATAAAATTGGAATAGAATGAGGCAATTGAATTTCTTATAGATTTTGAATCGAAAATTAACATTCCTTGTTAATTTTATAGTTCTAAATTATATATTTTCTAAAGTCGATCAAAGAATCTGAAGATCCTCAGCCACACGGGTGTAGCCGCGAGTTTGGGGGCTAGACAGTTCCCCACGCAGGGGATAAAAGTCTGTACAATCACTTTTACACTTTAATTATTGCAATACCCTATTCAACTCGGAACGGCCCTGTATGCATGTTATACGGCTGTACAAACGGCCCTGTATGCATGTTTTTTTGAAAATCAAATGCAAAGACAAAACAAACAAAAAAAAAGCAAACACATTACTGAAAAGTTTTATTAAGTTAAAACGTTTCATCCAATCCACTGAAGCCTATCCGCTTTCTTCAGTGCCCGAAATTTCTCTCGACAGACCTGCTGCATATCTCATAACATAATGTTATGGTCTGCCGAGAGAATTTTTGGACAATGCATAGCAGGTCTGCCGAGAGAATTTTTGGACAATGAAGGAAGCGGATGGGCTAACTTATGGTGGATCCTCGTTAAATGATGGATCATATATTCAGTACCTTTAGAGGTGGAACTTTATAATTAAATCTTATGGCTTCAGATAAGGTAAGATATCGAAAAAATAAAATGTTAAAGTAGTAATTTTTATAACAAAGGATAGAAAAAGTATGTAAGAAGAAAACAATATTATTTGTACAAACACGGGCCCCAGTAGTTGATCCCCGTCCTCCACCTCCTCTTTTTAGGCCTAATTATTTGACAGTTTACTTTTTTAGAAGTTATGGTAGAATCGGAAAGTTAAAAACCGTTAACATTACTAACCGCAATTCGAAAAGAATTGATCTGCAAATCCAATCTCTCCCTTTCTTCTGAATCACCAATCAATCGCTCCATGCAAGAATAAAGTCCCAATTTAATCTCATGATGAGAAGAGAATGAAGGTTCATATTGGAAATGAGGATTTAGAAAATATGCAGCAGCGTGTAAATGTGTTTGAAGCTGACGATCCCACCAACTCTCCACAATACCCTAAACAATCTGATACTTTGCAACATCATTATGAGCAATTTTTTCTTTAGGCCTGTTCATAAATAAATCCCATTGGTGAATACTTTTCGGAATCCACCATTCGAAGAACTATAACTAAGGACTTAGTTGTGTTGAGCACATAATTAACACCAGGCCAAAACGACTTTCTTTTTAGAATTACTTTGCGCATATTTTCCCCCAATGATCGAGATGCATAAAAACTGGTTTTCCACTTTCTTGAAGTAAAAAAGGATTCAAGTCCACCCCTTGCTCCAAACAAGCTTTGCAAAAAAAGAAATGCAATAGCAAATTAAGTAACAGCAGATTTCACCAAATCTCCACCAATAACTGACCGTAATAAAATGACCGAAGATAAAATTTATTATTTTCTTGGCCTTGGTGAAACAGAAGTATGGAGGGGTAACTTGAGAATGCCCGTTGGCTAATGTTAATGGAGAAAAGGAAAAATTTGGTTATTTAACGACTGGTTATTCAACGTGTATATATGTTTTGTCAGAAATGAAAAAGCGAGATATTAAAGACATTTTTAGAAGAATGAAAAGTTTTACATTTTTTTAATATAAAGTAAAACTTTATGTTTTGAGCTCATATTTTAAATTGTAAAGTTGAAGATTTTATTTATTTTAACTTGTTAATCCGTAAAACTTGTCCTTAAAGAGCAGCAAAATTTTACAAAATCTATTTTATAAAAAATTACACCGTTATTATTTTATTATTAATTATTAATAATTTATTTCTTTTCTTTTACAAATAAAATTATGAAACTTTAAAACAAAGAACAAAGAAAAATGTCTAATTTATTGAGTTTTCATTTCCAAACGGTTTTTTTTATAATTGGATGGTTAGGCGCCAAACCTGCCTGAAATACAACGAAATGTAAGATTGAAATAAGCCATAAGATTGTAAGACTCAAAGTTTAAGTCTTTAACAAAAGCCACTAAACCGAAAAAAGTTAAAAGCATTTGCGGTTAAGTACAATTAAAAATTTTAATCTATTTTAATTAATTTTAATTGGTGTTAGCAAAAAAAACACTACATAAATCTTTTTTTAACATTAACTTATTTTTTTCAACTTTGTTTTGTAGCAGGTTCGGCGCTTAATCATTTAATTTATAACTCGTTCATTATGGTTTCCGTAAAACTAGATATATAACTAGATATATAGATATATATAACTTATAAGTAAATAATAATGTATATAATTAAATAATTTAATAACAAAAGTAGTAATTTGTATTAAAATGTTTATTTACAAATAAAATTTTCAGGACTTTTTCACTTCCTGTTTAACTTGGTGCGTTGGATTACTTTTAGAACAATTATTAAAACCCAACCACTCTTCGATCAAATTGAAATGAAATTGTTGTACTGTGTTCTTTGATTATTTAGAAAATTTTATTTTGGAAAGCAAGAGCCGCGGACAAAAAAAGGAAATCGATGTACTAGCAATCAACAAGTATAGCCGGTGGCTATAGATTTCCAAAAAAAAAAATTCAAAGCAAATCGCTTCAAGTTAAATTAAATTGCTAGCTTAGTAACTGCGTAACGGCGATGCGAAGATGAAACAAAAATTATTAAGGTGATACCTAGGAAATTATACTAGAATAACGCTTTAACCAACATGCAATCTTCTTACGGTTGAATATTGACAAAATATAATCCTAGAGCGCAATGTCAGCCTAATTCATTTTTACACAAAATCTTACACTTAGTCATTGCAAAAACAGGATTCCCGAACCGCGAAACCTGATTTTTGTTGAAAAGTTATCATTAATAACTATGTAAATAACAATCACAAAACCTTCTTTCCAAGGAAAGATTGCATTGAATGATTAACTTTAAAAAAATCAGCAATTACATCATAAGAATTATCTGGGAGAACGGATAGAAGGGTAATTATGACATAAAGGATTTTTGGTATATACAAAGTTGTTTGATTTCTTTCAACTGCATCAATAATTCGCTCAGCTACATAGTCTGGATCTAGCACCTTTAGAAGAAAAAAATTTTTAAAACGTGAACCAAACCCTTTAAACATATCTGTTGAAGTATGAAATGGAAGAACAGTTGTACAATGGACACCATTTTTGTCTGAAACAAAGAAAATATAATTAAAATGACTAAAAAATTAAAAAAAGATTATAAATTATATAATTAATAAAATTGAAAATTTTCAATGCGTATCTTAAACTTATATTAGTAATCACACTTTTCTAATAATGCTAATTCGCATGCTAAAATTACCAAAAAATAACGGAAAGTAACCTAGTAATTTAAGATCAGAAAATTTCAATAGTAGAAATCTACTACTAAAATTTAGCAAATTTTATTAATTAGCACTGCAGTACACTATCTACTACTACAGTTTGTATGAAAAGCTCTAGCAATAGAAGAAACTTACTAAGTAAAGTTTTTTACTTAACTTTAATGGTAATGTAAGTATGCGTGAAGAGCTCTAACAGTAGAAACTTACGAGAGTACTGAGTACTAGTGTAAGTGTAAGGAGTAAACTTTTAACAGTTAAATCAAACTTTAAACATGGATACTCCTAGTAATAGCAACAGCAGTAGAATTGACTAACCAGTACAACCAGTTCAACTAGTATAAACAACTCACTACATATTGTCATAATAAAAAAAATTATACTGTCTAACTTGTACTCACTAAAAGATCTAATACAGTTCCAATGTAAATATTTCTACACAATATTGACTTTTAAGAAAAAAAAAACTTTAAATAAATAAGAGTTTACTATCTTAAATAATGGGTGAATTATTTTTAAGTATTTTTAGTTAATTTATAATAATTTTAATACTTTTAAGGTAATTTACAAATATAAATATTAAAAAATATTTGAGCCATACTTATCAACCGAAGTTCTTGTCTCAATGATTTCATAAAATTTACAGCTGCAGCTTTTGAAGCACCATATTCTGAAACTCCAGCAAAAGAATCTAGTCCTAAAATGGAAGCAACACTTACAATATGCCCATGATTCATCTCTAGCATATGAGGCAAAAATAGTTGCACAACCCAAAAGTGTGAAAGAATATTCACTTCAAATGTTTTTTGAATTTCTTTTGGTTTTAAATCAAAAAAATACTTTCCAGCTACAACACCAGCATTATTAATGATAATTGTTGGGTTACCAATTGTTTCAACTATTTTTTTTTTAATTAAACAAATCTCATCATAGTTTGAGATATCGCATTTAAAGGGATATGCCACTTGTTGTTGAAATGTCTCATTTAAAGTCTGAGAAACTTCTTCTAAGCCAAAAGTGTCTATATCTATTAAAATCAGAATGCAACCTAAAGCAAATTTATTTTGTTAATCTAACTGAAATTATTAAATTAAAAAACAAGATTCAAAAAATTCTTTTGTGATAATAAGCAAACTTGTTATTAAAATAAAAATAATAATATGATATTTTATAAATACATAGAAAGCAACAATAACATACGCAGAAATGTAAACTGGAACTTTTTTATTATCAAAAAAAAAACCAATTGCAAAAGAGATGTGTCCTTAGATACCAATTGCAAAAGAGATGTGTCCTGAGATATCAAGTAGTTTAGTCTGTGTAACTCAAATGTCACAGGGGTTGCATACAAATTTAAAAACCATAAAAAATTTAAATTCTATAGATTTTAAATTAAATTTAAATATGAAAAGGATTTTCAGAAGACTAAAAATGTTTTTTACATTTTTTTTGTTTGTTTTATTTTGTTTTAATAAACAGGTATTATTGATTATATATTTATATAAAAAAAAATTATATTTAAATAAAAAATATGAGAAATATTTTTTTGAAACCACTAACTCAATTTTATCTTCTGAAAACAATAAGTACATTTTGTTATAGATGAAAATATTTTTCATTTATTAGCCTACCTTTTTGTACTAACTTTTTTGCTAATAATTTCCCAATACCACCAGATGCTCCTGTTAGAAGAACAATTTCATTTTTTAAATCTTTATGATATGCATAAAAAAAGTTGAACCATGCTTTTAAGATGTAAATTATTGTCATAAAAATTGCACACAAAAAATCTTTTGCAGTACATGCAAGCCATTTCACACTATCTGCATTCAAATAGAAAAAAATATATGATAAAAATATGCAACAACAAAACACTAATAAAAAGTTAAAGGCATCTAGCAATATCATAATTTTGGAATGTGATAAATCAATGAGGTTAAGAATTTATTTCAGATTCTAATAATGATCGGATATCATCTTCTGATTTATCTGTTGATACTTTTATCGTTTTAATTCTTGATGTATCCCCACGAATCATACAAATGCCACTCTTTTTTATATTGAACAATTCACTAAGATACGATAAAAGTTCGTCATTAGCTTTCCCATCCCTTGGTTGAGCTGCTAACTGAATACCAATAAATTCCACAGAAATATCTTTAAATAAACAAGAAAAAAGCTGAAGCAAAAAAATTTTATAATATGTATTTTGATATATAATTTATTTTAATATTTTTGTATAACTAAAAACACGATATTATAATAACATAACATATATAATAATATATGTAATTTATCTATAACAAAACATGTTATTATAATAATATATAACATAAATAATAACAATAATAATAATAATAATAATAATAATAATAATATATGTAAAACTTAAAATCAAACTACGCTTAAATTCAAACTTATAATTTAAAATATATGTTAAACTATGTTTAATTTTTATTAAACACTATAAATTTAGTTATAATACCTAATTAGATAACAATTTAACAAATAAAAAATTACGGTAAAAAAAATATATATAAACTAAAAATTACTAATGATAACTTGCGTATTTTTTTTCCAAAAAGAAATTACAAAATATGCAAACTTTACCAGTAACTTTGTTTCTTTTAGCCCCAGGTTTAGCATATATCTGTAATATTATTTCGTTTTTCTTATCTGCAACTTTTTGAAGAACGTTTGCCAGTGTTTTAGATGAAGAAATTGATTTTACAATAGATCTTTTACTCATTTTAAACTCTATAAATGATTTTATTATTAATTAATATTCAAATCTATATTGTCAATAACAACAAGGTGAATTTCTTTAAATCAAAAACAATTGTCTTTAAGATAAGACTGATTTCTTATTAATAAGGATTTCCAACGACTGTGAAAATCCATTAAATTCATATATTATATATATATATATATATATATATATATATATATATATATATATATATATATATATATATATATATATATATATATATATATATATATATATATATATATATATATATATATATATATACACATATATATATAAAAGCATTAAAATCCATTTAAATTCATAGCCAACTTCAGAATGAAACTGTTTTTATGGGTTAGCTCTCTATATATATAGTTTATTAAATTCAGCGTGAGAAAATGTTATGGAAATTCAAGTTGCCGGTATAACGATAAAATAGACAAATTCATAAATTTATTAATTAATAAAATAATTAAATATCAATTATTAAAATTAATATGTAAATAACTAAATAACAAATTTTAAAAATTTAACTTATCTATAAGTAAATTTATAGAGCATTAAGACCATTTTTTTTTCATATACATTTATATTTTTCTATTGAAATCAATAAATACTCTGAAATTTAGGAATATTTTTTTTCCTAGTGACAGACAACATTGTATAAACATTGTTTTCTGTCACTAGGAATAATAATATTGAGCCCGGTTGAACATTATTGCTTATGGTTTTTATTTTTATCGTACACGGTTGAACACTTTTCTCTAAAAAAAAAAAAAAAATTCATGTAGTACTGAAACTGGTAACATAATCATAAGAATAAATATTTGCTGTGACTATGCTGGTAAGAAGTAATAAAAAATCACTAAATAAATTTAAAAAAGGGGCAAAAAACAAGTATAATAAAAGTAAGGTTCTTTTTTGAAAAGACATTTTACGAAAACTTTCGATTAAAACGTTATCGATAAAAAACTTTTTTTTTCGGATTTTCTAAAAACTTTTGAAAACTAGCTAAAATAATCTCGAAAACTTAGATTCAATTTTTTTTTTATTTTGCTGTTTATAAAAATTACAATTCTCTTACAATATATATATATATATATATATATGTATATATATATATATATATATATATATATATATATATATATATATATATATATATATATATATATATATATATATATATATATATATATATATATATATATATAATTACAAATGTATAAATAATAAATATACAGGGGCTCAAAGAACATATGGATGGCAAAATACCAACCTAATCTTTTCATAGAGCCCCATAGAGATCTTAACAATAATAGTACAATATGGTTAATAAATCAAGGAGAAAATTTAGGAAAAAAAAAAGAAATAGTAAAAAAGAAGATATAATATAAAGAATAAAAATAGAGAAAAAAGAAGATGTATCAATTAAAAATACAAACACCCTCAATTAGTCAAAAAAGAAGATTTTAGTATTTAAAAATACATATAGTGAATAAAGAACATATAGTATTAAAAAATATAAGTAAATGCCAATAGTCAAAATAAGAAAATATTTAAAAATACAAATCTGTCAGAAAAAATAAAAAATAAGAATATATATATATATATATATATACAGGGCCTGATCTTCCACAAGGCACGTAAGGCCCAGGCCTAAGGCCCCCAAAATTTTGGGGACCTTCTAATTTTCAGCTTTTAATAATTTTTTAGCCCATCAGAACTTTTCTGACGTATCAGTAAAAATTAAAAATATTTATTTCATTTATAAAATTTTCAGGTAAAAAAGAACTGAAATAATTTCAAGATGATTTGTTTTCTTTTTCTAAATCCAAAGTACGCCTATTTGCATTTTTAAATATACCTCTATGTTATACACAAAATCTCAAAAACATTATCTTCTGTTGCATTTCTGAATTAAAATTATGAACATATGGTCCAAAACAGTCCGGAAAAACATAACTTTAAGTCATTTTGGCCATTATTAACTTAAAAAATCATTAACTTAAAAAAGTATAAAAATTATGACTAATAAAGGTCGCCAATTTGCTGAATCAGAAACTCAGAACTTCATAAATGAGCTAGAAAACAGTGAAAATAAAGATTATGAAGATAATTAAAGGCATTAATGTCTTTTATATAATTTATTTCCAAAAAGTTATTTAAATTGCAAAACTTCAATAATTTTGATTACATTTTACAATATGATAAAAAGAGTGCTCGAAGTGAAATCCGTGCTATTTTAAAAACATATAAAGAAAAACAATGCCTTTTTAACTGTGTTTTTTATGAAATAAAATATTTTGAATTACAGAATTTATTTTTCTAAATGTAAAATATTTTAACAATAGTTATACAGTTAAATCTTCTTGGTGGCCGCGGCAGTCTAGTGGTTAGCATGTCTGATTTCGAAAGCTATCAACCCGGATTCAATTCCTGGGTAGCTGGTCAAAGGTCAACTCAAACTTTCATCCCTCAGGATTCGATAAATGAGGATACATTTATTCGTTCACATAATTTTTAAACAAGGGGGCCCCCAAATTGTGTTGTGCCTATAGTCCGTGTTGTTCAAGATTGGGCCCTGTATATATATATATATATATATATATATATATATATATATATATATATATATATATATATATATATATATATATATATATATATATATATATATATATACAGGGCCTTCGAGAGAGCCAATGGCGCCCGAGTCAAAAACGAAGAGCGGCGCCCTTAATTCAAACCAAAAAATTATAATTCTGAAATTTTTAAACTTTGTGAACGCAGCAATTTATTTATTTCTGATACAGCACATTGTATTTTTGCGTTACTATTTTTATTAATTCGTTACTATTAATTCTCTGGATCGAGAAACGATTTATTAATAAAAACTGATATATGAATCAAAATATTAGTTTTAAAACTATTAAAAAATCAATCAATAAAACTTTTAATAAACGTAAAAAATCAATTTAAAATGATTTTTTGAGCTTTTTTAAACGCCCAAATTTTTAATGACGTTTTTGTAACTCTTCTTTTTAGTCGAATCTTCTTTAATCAAAATAATCAAATACCAGTAACGCGATCCTGACACATGGTCGAACGGAGAGAGTTTTTTTTACAACTTTCAGTTTACAAAACAATCGTTTTGTAAACTGAAAGTTTACAAAACGATTGTTTTGTGAACTGAAAGTTCAATCAACCCTCAGCAACTGACTTAAAAATGGTGTTGAAAATTCGAGTCATGATGCAAATATATGGAAAAGCTTCTTCTAAAAGATTAGATCAAGAAACTGCATTAGATTGCTTTCTTGAAAACTGTGTTTTGCGGGTATTGGTAAAACGGCAAATTTCTTCTTTTTGCTTACATCTCTCGGATGAAACCGTACGAGTTCTCATGCTTTATTTTAAAAAGAAAGATTATTATTATTCAACCTGAAGAATGAAAATATTGCCAACCACCCTGCTAGTTTCAAATTTTGAATCAATCTGCTTGATAAGATCATCTAAACCAACATTGAAAATATTCACTTTAAATTCTTTTGTTTGGCTTTCATGGAAATAAACTGTGTTTGATGCCTCATCATGAAAGCGCTTTAGCTCACGCTTTCTTTTAGGAGCGAGTTCAATTTCGAATTCTAGCGGTCAACTACAACAGCAGCCTCTTAGGAACAAGAGCCCTAATCCGTTTAAGACAAACATCGTTAACAATAGTAAGAGTTTTGTACAGAATCGTATCGAGCAATACAAATTCAAATGATGATAATCATTTTTTTAAATCTCTTGTTTGGCTGAGCTGCTCACTGGTCAGATCCAGATTTTTCATGATATGTTTAACAGCTGCCTTCATTTCTCTCGGCCTCTTGGCAAGTGGTTTGATCAAGTTGGTATGAGATCTCTATCTTGTCAGGGAAAGTCTATGCAGTGAAATTCCAGTTGCCTTAGTGAGAATCTTCCATCAGGTTAGACTTGGACTAAAAAATAAGCTCCAAGGTTCAACATTTTTGAAGAATACTTTGATCTCAATAGCTGATTTAACTGCAAGCACACCAGCCAAAATCAGACTGTGAGTGCTACAGGGAACGTACAGAGCTTCTGAATAATTTAGCCTTATCAAGCCCTGATCTCCCTTGTAAACACCTGACCTACTGGATCCTTTATCATGTCCCTCACCACGATATTTTTGAATATTCATACATAGCCTTAAAATCACATTAGTGATAAGCTTAGCTATATCAAAACCTTTCTTCGTCTCAAAAGTTTCAACACATCATTCTTTAATTTTCCAGCAAGTAATTTCTCTTTCATAGAGGAGAAAACAAATGACAAAAGTTATCCGCTTAGTATGAGATATATTAGGGATACCATCAACTATGGTTGTGAAGTAGATACCATCCTGAATTTCTTCAACAGCTGCACTTTGGATTACATCATATTCTTTGGTGAACTTGTTTTGAGACGATGGAAAGAAATAATGGGAACTTATTATAAAGCTTTCTTCTTGATGTTGTCATTATAAAGTTTTCTCAATATCAATTTTAATTATTTATATAATTATTAGAATAAATTAATTATAATTATTGTATACATTTTCTAAGTGGGATGTTACACATTATTGTAATAATTATATAAAAAATTAAAATTGAATTTGAGAAAACTTTATAATGAGCTACTTAAAAAAGCTTCTTATCACAGAAAAGCCTCTATTGAAGAAATTAGAAGATTTTTTTTTAGTTATTTTTTCCTTTTGTTATGGTGTTTACGGCTTGCATCAATCAAACTACTGTGTCTTCCGAACAGCTGATTCATGTGAACAATAATGTCCATAATTTTCAAAAATATATAAACTACCATTTTCCCCTTCTGACGACAAAAAGTTTGTAATATAATATTATAAATTAAAATAAAAATAAACATACAAAATTACAATAGAAGAGTTCTTAAACTTAATAAGTAAAACATGTTAAATAATTCACTAAATTTAAACATAT